TATACCAGCATCACTTAACGCTGGCTGGCTCTCTCTGCGAGTCAGGACTGCTTCAGGATCTGTGTGAACTCCAGCTCTGCTCAGATCAAGGGAAATAAAGAACTGCTGATTATTAACAAGGAACTACGACCTCGTTTTAAATCTGAGTTTGAAAGGTTCATGTCCAAAGTAAAGAATGAGTTCACAAGTAAAAAACAATCTTGTTTCGACGCGCTCATTAACGTATTCACACTTCTTACAATAAAGTTGAGAATTAGCAAAAAGTGATGTTGCGAAAATCATCTAAAGCCCTTATAATAAACATGTAAACAATCTCAGACCACACACGTTGCAACACCTCGCACTTTAATGCTCTCTGCCTGTTTTGTGCAAATCGAAAAGTAAACACTTGCACCTTGGCACGTCGGTGTGCCAAGAGTGCACACGCTTTAATTTCGTTCGACTAAAGTTGGAAATGTGATCTCTCCATTATCGTGCTGATAATCTAAAACGCTGTGAGGAGTGAAACACACACAGATGCTGATTGCACAAACTCCTCTACAGTTRTGTTTTATTATATTTGATGTCACATACCTGCATATTGACACACACCTGCCATTTCTTTCATAACACAAGAAAAAAATCCATTTTCTTTTGAAGTTTTTTTTCTAAAACAACACAAAAAATGTAATTGCTGCAAAGTTTATGTTTGAATCATTTGTACAGATTGCTTGATAAAGTTAATTTCTCTTTTTTTTTTAAATCAGAAGTCTAATGTTTCAGACATATTGGGTGATGTCCAGCTCTCATCATACAACAAAATCAATTAATTTTTTTAGAGATTGCATTACAAATCAGATCACAAACAAAGCAAGTAGCACATTCATCAACTATCTGCTTTTTGAGCAGGTATTTACTTGATGTGTTAATATGAAAACYTGTATAATTAGTATAAATGTTTAATAAAATACACTCACTGACTTTTTAAGTGGATTGTTGACTGAAAAACTCAACTGCAGGCTACAATCTAAAAGCATGAAATTGATGCAAATGCATGATGAATATATATA